CCGACATCACGTCATGGTATCGGTTACAGCGCGGATGGAACCACAGTCGAGGTGGTACGAAAAAAGTACGCAAACTCAAATACCAACACTAGTGGAAATGCAAAATAACCGCGCCGTACCGTAACGTACTCTTACTGTACTTGAATCCTTTGATCTCACTCAGCACGTAAGTGGCCCCACCCACAGCAAAGGGCACACTCTAGATCTGTTAGTTACAAAGGGGGTGAATATTTCAAATGTAAACGTGGTCGATGTTGCTCTTTCGGATCATTTCTGTGTTTTTTTTGACATGTGTTTCACTAACAAACCACCAGTGGACTCTGCAACTGTTCGAAGAAGGCGCATAAATGAAAATACGAGTGAACTATTTATGGGAATGATAAACTTTGAGAATGCATCGTATTCTACTGTAGATGAACTGTTTAACTCTGTCACCTCTAGTGTTTTGAATGTTCTGGATACCGTTGCCCCTGTGAAGGTTAAAATAGTGAAAAATAAGCAGAAGGCGCCGTGGGCTAAAGCAGACTCGGTCAGGGCACAAAAGAGAAAGTGCCGGAGGGCCGAGCGGAAGTGGCGCAAGTCCAACCTCCAGGTTGATTACGAGATCTTCAAAGATAAGTTGTGCGAGTTTAACCGGGTGCTACGTAGTACGAGAGAAAGGTATTTTTGTGAAATGATTGAAGGCTGCAGCAACAATCTGCGTGTTCTGTTCTCAACAGTTAATAGATTAACAAACCCCCCTGTTCAAATGCCATTAGAGCTTACTTCCAAACGTAAATGCAATGAGTTTGCTCATTTTTTCAATGACAAGGTTCAAGGCATCAAAAACGCCATTGTCTCCAATCCACAGATAACCATCCAACAGCCAGAAAGGCTCTCTGAGCTAACTCACTTTGCACCTGTAAATGATAAAACTGTCCAAGAGATAATCTCCAGTTTGAGCTCCTCCACATGCAGCTTGGATGTACTACCCACTAGATTTCTAAAGTCTGTTCTGAGCAGTCTGTTACATTCACTCACACAGATAGTAAACATGTCCCTTCATTCTGGAATATTCCCAAAGGCCCTGAAAACTGCAGTCATCAGGCCCCTGCTAAAAAAGAGCAGTCTCGATGCTACGGTACTTAACAACTATCGTCCCATCTCAAATCTGCCATTTATGGGGAAAGTCCTTGAGAAAGTTGTCTACCTACAGCTTACTAGATTTCTTATAATCAACAACTCATTTGATATGTTTCAGTCCGGCTTTAGACCCCACCACAGCACTGAGACTGCTCTCGTTAAGGTTACAAACGATATCCGGCTGAACACTGACGCAGGCAAAGTCTCAATCTTAATCTTGTTAGATCTAAGTGCTGCCTTTGACACCGTCGACCATGAGATCCTCTTACAGAGACTAGAGGACTGGGTTGGCGTCACTGGCACCGCCCTAAGTTGGTTTAGGTCTTACCTTGAAGACAGGAAGTACTTTGTGGAGATTGGAAACTGTGTCTCAGATCATATGGCCCTGACCTGTGGAGTCCCACAGGGGTCGATCCTGGGACCTCTTCTGTTCAATCTCTACATGCTGCCGTTAGGTCAGTTAATACGCAGAAACGAAGTTTCCTATCATAACTATGCAGACGACACTCAGATCTATGTCTCACTGACTGCAGGAGAACATGGACCAGTGGACTCACTCCTTCACTGTATCCAACAGATCAGTGAGTGGATGCAAAACAACTTCCTTCAGCTAAACGCAGACAAAACTGAAATGATTGTCTTTGGTCCCCAGAAACAAAGAGAGAGCGTCATCCGTCACCTACAGTCTCTCTCCCTAAAACCTTCAAACAAGGTCAGAAATCTAGGGGTAATACTGGACTCAGACTTAAATTTTAATAGCCACATCAAATCAGTAACATCAGCAGCTTTTTACCATCTAAAAAACATTGCCAGGATCAAAAACATAGTGTCTAAAGCAGACCTGGAGATTCTTATCCATGCATTTGTCTCCAGTAGGTTAGACTACTGCAATGGCCTGCTCACAGGTCTGTCCAAACAGGCTGTAAAACAGCTGCAGTACATTCAAAATGCAGCAGCTCGAGTCCTGACTAGAACCAGGAAGTACGACCACATTAGTCCAGTTCTCAGGTCTCTGCACTGGCTTCCTGTGGCTCAGAGAATAGACTTTAAAACAGCTCTGCTTGTGTACAAGTCTCTCCATAGCCTCGCACCAAAATATATTAGTGACATGTTAGTCCCATATGAACCAGCCCGGACTCTGAGGAGCACAGGGACTGGACTCCTGTTAGTGCCCAGAGTCAGAACTAAACATGGGGAGGCTGCTTTTCAGATTCATGCTGCTAAAATCTGGAACAGTCTTCCTGAAGATGTGAGACAGGCCTCCTCTCTGACAATGTTTAAAACCAGGTTAAAGACAGTTCTGTTTAACTGTGCATACAACTGAGGGATTTTATATTTCTATCTTTCTTTTTAATGTTCTGTGATAATTTATGATTTTAATGCTTTCTTGTTTTGTTCAGCACTTTGAATTGCCTTGTGTATGAATTGTGCTATATAAATAAACTCGCCTTGCCTTGCCTTGCCTTGGAAAAGCGGCAAAAGTGCACCCATAACATATGGGGTTTTCATGATATAGTAATTATCTTAATTTCATCCGTATTTTCTCTTAATCTCTTAACCTGTTAGAAGCATGCCAGACCATTACATGCATGCTTTTTTGACCAACTTTAATTTGAAATCTATCTTTTTTCCTGTGCACTAATGCGGTACAGTGCTGCCCTCTTCAGTCAGTGGTGATTGATCTCAAAATTACTGCGCAAGAGAGGGAGGACCAGAGGTGCCCGAAATGGGTCACTACCACTAATATGGCGGCCTCCATTGTGAGATTGATTTGAATGGATAGACATGTTGGCTTGCCAGGGCTTGATAAATAGTCATGGTTGCCCAAACATCGGACATTGAAGTCACACAAACAAATCCTGAGAACCCTTTGTTGTGGAAGTGACCAAATTATAACTATATACATTTTTATATAACGTATTTTTGTTTATTAAACTCCAGACACTGATAAAAAAAATCCTTTTTGTAGTTTTACTCAAATATTACCAAATATACCGATATAGTGGTACGTGTAATGCAAAGTTTCTTAGATTGTCCTTTGTGTGAAAAGCAGGATTACCACAGTTCCATGCTCTCAGATAGCCTGACTCTCACCAGACCCTTGTAGTTTGCTGAGCTTCACACAAGGCAGGGCCTCATAAAATAAAGCACACCATTCAGCACACGACTTCTCACTGCGTTGCAGGGTTGCCAAATGCTGGAAAGATTTTCCAGCCAAAAACCCGCTAGAATGCCCCAAAAAAAAAAAAAATTTTTTTTGGCTAAAAACGTAATGCAATCAACTTATTACCTACAAGTCGTCTGGAACAAAAGTATGCGGGAAACTACCCAACATGGCAACCCTGCTGCGTAGTGTTGTGACAGGAGCACTTAAACCAGTACTTTAAAGCCACCCTGTGTCATTTTTACAGTTTCTCCATATGAAAAAACATGTTAACTAAACCCAAATGTGACCTTTCTAAAAAATATTTACTTCCATGTTTTTGAATTGTTGTCATAGACGTAGAATTTGAGTTATAAATGTCCATGAGAACTATCCGTGTCAATGCACCATCTTGAAATACATTGTTTGAAAAGGGACAAAAAGGATGCAAGAATCGATTTTTTTTTTCTTTCACAAGTGCTACTGATATTGTTGCTTTCACTGTGCCCTCACAAGTTTGAAGAAGGAACCACAAAGGACCACAGTTATATGAAGTTATAAGAACCATTGAGGAACGACCCGAAGAGCAATTTTTTAGAAACGTAATTATGCAAAAGTCCGGTGTCGTAGCAGCAAAGTGTCAAAATCGCAAACCACACGCACTGAAGGGCAGAATTAAAACAACACACTCAACAGACTCACACATGAACAATACGTAACTTTCTTCACACTGACAATAATGAGAACGAGGCAGAATCTACAACACAGGTCTGGGGATGTTCTGACCCGATCTGAGCGCAGTCCAACTACTATGTCACAAGTTTCAACTAAACTTATTCAGGGACAAGCCTCAAAAATGCTAAACACACAGAATCCCCACAAAACGCCAGAATACTTTATCATCAACGTGAGTGAATGTTCTTTTTCTTACCTGGTGATGCAGATGTGGCCCTATCGCTAACGCTAATAATAACATGAGCTTTTAGCCATATTCTGCCGCGGTTGTGTACATGTCCTACCTACCTGATCATCGCGTTTTTATGCTCCCGGAGACGTTAATCCTGCATGCATCTCTTCTCTTCAGACTGCATCTTTAAAACAATTTATTATAACAGATCCATGGTAAAACTCAGTGCAGCCTCTGTGCAGTGGGTGCCGCTTCAGAGCGCGGTCTTGTTTACATGTCGCCTTCACGCGATTGTGTCAAGTGCCTGAGACGTATGGAGAGATCCAGTCATTTATCAAATTAACGGATTATTTTCCTTGGCAGTCTGGTGAATGACTGAGAGTTGAGGAGCACTGTCAAAGACACATATTGTTTATCAAATGCTTCCATAGTACCTTGGACAGCAAAGGAAGATATCAACACAGAACTTTACACAAACATTTTACTCATTAAAACACACGTATAACAACATGGAACCATCAACATCTCGCCCTAACTCGCATTAAAAGTGAAAGCCGTATCTTAATTTGTGCGTATTTTAAAAAATTCAAACTTTATGTCCGCCATCTTGGTTTGCTTTTGCTGCTGTGAGACATGCACGAGAAGGCGGTGCTAACGCGACGTAACACCGGCAATCCTGATTGGCTGATTATTTTTGGATCTCCTTTGGAGTTTGCATTGGCGTCAATCCTTGTGTTCAGCCAAACGCCTCTGGTGGAGCATGGCAGAACTACAAGGGTCTGGCAAGAGTCAGGCTAGCTCTCATATGTTCTTCATTTTATTTCCCAGGACTACTATAAGATCATCAAGACTCCTATGGACATGGGTACCATCAAAAAACGCCTGGAGAACCACTACTACTGGAATGCCCAGGAATGCATGCACGACTTCAACACCATGTTCACCAATTGTTACATCTACAACAAGGTGAGAGGGCCGTTCCAGTGCAGGCTTTGGCAGGGAGTGGTAAGGCGGGCATGGTCCTCAGACTGGTATAGCTGAGGATGTTGTTGGGCCTTTCATTGACATAGTGAGACCCTTCTGTAGTTACTACTTACCTAACACCAAATAGATAGGTTGGATGTGATTTGAGGGGAGATGGGGGAACCTGTTTCTGTGCTGCAACTGACTGTTTTTTAAATTCTATAATTACACTAAATTAGGGATGCATCGGCTGAACATCAGTATCAGCCGATGTTTGCCTTGTTAACTAACATTGGCATATAGGGATCTCCCAGTCACGTGACCAAAACCAGCGTGTCGGCCATTTTGACGGTACAGTCCGCCGACTCCACAGCAATGAATCTGTCATAGCTCGTTCGCTTCACGTCATGTCATCGCACTCTTTAGCTTCAGAAAAAGATATATACACGAGGAAGATAAAGGAATTGGGAATCGTAGATCCATATGAAGCACCACAAGTTCTTTTTACAGACATTAAATGTGTAGAAATACTTCCCGACATTGAGTTCGGTGACATCTACAGCTACCTGATTCACTTTCCGTCACGTTACACCGGAGCTTCATTAAAAGCATACAAAAGCTTGGCAGGCTATCGGTACCACGAGTCCGGATGGGTCAGCCACTCTTTGATTTGGACTCCAGCGGGGAAGGATTTTTCCGTCATTACTGCAAAGGTTGGTTAATGTATTTTTATCACCAAAGTATAGTACCTTTTTCTTTCAACGGAGTTAACTGGGATAAACATAAAATACGATCACCAACAAGATTAGGTATGTCTGTTTGTTGGATCTAATTTGATCCAAGAAAAGCGAAAATATGTTACTTTTAACTATCATAATATAGGGCTTTGACTTCAAAATTCAAAAATAATTAGAATATTAGACAGCCCTTAATGACTGTGAATAAAATAGTTAGCTCCCAAAGGTTTCACTGGACATGAAGACAAAGGAAGCTTGGGAAATCTTTTTGTATCCAAATCCGGCTTTAAACTTCTCCACAACAGTATCTCGGACCTGCCTGGTGTGTTCCTTTGTCTTCATGGTTCTCTCTGCGCTTTAAACAGAACCCTGAGACTATCAAAGAGCAGGTGCATTTATACGGAGACTTGATTACACTCAGGTGCATTCTTTTTATCATCATCAGTCATTTAGGACAACATTGGATCATTCAAAGATCCTCACTGAACTTCTGGAGTGAGTTTGCTGCACTGAAAGTAAAGGGGCCGAATAATATTGCACGCCCCACTTTTCAGTTTATTTGTTAAAAAAGTTTAAATTATCCAATAAATTTCGTTCCACTTCACGATTGTGTCCCACTTGTTGTTCATTCATGACAAAAAATAATGTTTTTATATCTTTGTTTGAAGCCTGAAATGTGGCGAAATGTTGAGGTTCAAGGGGGCGAATACTTTCGCAAGGCACTGTAAATGCAGGTATCCTCAGTTCGGCATTGAACAGAGCAACTGAATCTCCAACATCAAATCCTCGGTCCGCCAATACCAGATCCCCAGGAAGTAAATTATTCAAAAAGCCACTGTTCTGCACAATGTGTTTATCAGAAGTCTTTTGAAATGAAAGAAATAGTACCTTGTGGAGTAATGCCAATCATATATTTCATAGTATTGTGTGATTTATATGAAGAATATGTTTGGGATCTTGCTAAATAGAGCTGAGGTTTCTCTGTAAATATCTCAAAACAGTCGATAATGCATGTGCATCGACTAAATCCATTTCGAAATGAGAATGGCAAAGTTAACCTAAGCTCATCTCTTCCTGGCCATTTAACTAACAAAGGTACAATTATTTTATACAAAATATTAGTGCAATTCTGAAATATTCTTGAACCTGCAGAATTACTTATGTGAAACATGTAACACAAAAATGTCAATGTTACATTCAATCGTAAACGCAACATTGTGAAGATTAACTGCTGAAACGGGGGGATAGAAGCATTGGACATTAGCCATGGATGTACATGGCCATAGATCAATTTGAGTTTTTGGAATGAAGGAAAACCTGTTAATATTCGAACTTTGTCATTATCATTTTCAAATCCTTTTTCGTCGAATTTCAGATTTTGCAGTTTCTGTTTTAGTTCCATGTTTTCAGTCCTTAACTGTTGACATTCATCGTCCAAAATCTTAAGATATCTCTTGCATTGGTCACTACTGCAGTGTGTTAAATCGTTTGTTAGTGATCCAGCATTCGCTTGTTCATCCAAGTCTTCACCATCATCAGTTTGTGACAGCTGGAGCAACCCATGAACTGCATCATCAACTTTCCCAGCTTGCAGTCGTTGACGTTTCAAATTTTGCCTCCTGTCAAAATTTGCCACTGCATTCATAGTTTTCCTCTTCTTTGGTGTTGACACATGCTTGAATATAGTTGGCACATAGTCCGGGTGGTAGGGATGATCACTTTTTGCACCTGCAACCAAAAGTACAACATTCGGTCATTTATTTGTTCAATGGTATTACAGTCAATTTTCTGGAGGAAGTACACAGATGTAACTATTTCTCTGATATACAGTTCAGGACTTTTATGTCATGTTTTTCAATAATAATTGAATAGAGGTTCTAAATTGTGAAATACTGGTGTTAATGTTCACATAAAAACGTTTTGACATTAGCTACTGTGTGTTAGCTACATGTATTTAAAAAAAGAGAAGCAACGCACAACAGAAGTAATCTCAGAGGTGCAGATGTTTAAATGATGAAAATCTTCATAAATCAAAAAAACAGTACTGCACACTCAAGTAGCCAATGTCCAATTTCTCATGACGATAACGTTGGGGCATCAGATCATTCTTATTTCATTCTTTGTGGTCACATACACTGTGGTTCAAAGATGAAAGAAACAGTGATCTGATGCAGGCTAACGCCCAAACGTAATTATCATCAAGAATTGGACATCAGCTACTTGAGTGTGCGATGCTGTTTTTTTTAGCCAAATGTATTTACCAGTTGTGACTGATGCTAACAGCTAATATTGGTAGGTTTTTTTCACTGCTACAGAAGAAACAAAAGTAGTCAACCCATACACCATTAGAACCGTGACAAAATGCACAATATGTTATCAAAAAGAGCGACAGCTAAACGTTTGATTACCAATTAATTTTCTTTATAACGCGAAGAAAATAAAAAATTCTATCGTAAAATGGGAGCCTGATGCGTGTGTCTGGCTAACGACAATCTTGCATTCTGTTGAATGATAGTGCACACAAACATCGCGGATTTCTATGGCAACAGTGAATTTATAACATATGATCCCGAAATCAGGGAAATCATTCATTAGCCTTCGATGGGAAAACTTACCTGATCCAAAATGAAGACTGCAAAGCCGCATGTGTCGAGTTGGAAGCCAAACACCACCATCAGCGTTTTGCCTGTTTATTGCCGCCAACCACTGGTTTCTCCGTTTTGTTTCTTTTGGGATACGGTATAAAGATATTCCTTTTGTCAGATCACGTTTCTGGTCGCATCCAACCGCACAGCATCGCTCCGGCATGATAGTAAAATCTCGCTACTACCTGTAGCATCACCGGCGGTTTTTCATTTCTACACCGTCAAAATGGCTGATCCAAATGGCGTGACGTCACGCGGGACATCCCTATACAAATGACTTTTGACGATGCTAGGCGCTTGAAAAGAAATACCTGTAGAGGGAGGTATTTAACATCAGAAAAAGATCAGTTTGCAGTAAGTGTTACAGTTAAATGTGTGACTGCGGGACACAGGTTTCCACATCCTCCGTTGCTGCAGCGTTAGCGGAGCAACTTTGTGCGGCTGTAAGCCTCTTTGACAACAGCTCAGCAAACGTCGTAACGTGGCCATAATCTGACCATAAACCGCGCATAGGCTGTTCTCCACTTGTTGAAAATGCAAGTCTTTGCATAAACTGTGCTGCTTTAAGAAACAGAGCTGAATTATAAAGCCTCAGGATCGTTCTATGTCTCCCCCGTGTGTCCTCCTGAAGCGCTACTTAACTCGTTGAATTAAAGCTGGTGTACTGTTAATGCTGTTTTTAAACTTCAGTTGAACCTGGACAAAATTGCACACACTAAAAGGCATCTTTCTGCCATTCTTTATTACTTGGTTGCCATCCAAGGAGCCATGTCTTAACCCATTAAGACCTTGCACACCAGGTAAAACATACAATACAATTTATTCTTGTATAGCCCTAAGTCACAACAGAAGTCATCTCAGAGGACTTAACAAAACCATTGAAATCACCAACACAGATCGGAGAATCAACTGTTAAAACACATGAAAAATATAAAGCACACACAGAAGAAAATGCCCATACATGTTGTAGAATGCTACAGTGTCCTGGATCATCACCAATCCTTTCTGTTGGACACTAACTGTCCAACAAGACCCTCCTGCATCGACAAGGAAAAACCTTGGGGAGAACGAGGGAGACCCATTTGAGAAAGGGATCCGCTCCTCCGGACGGACAGGCTAATGATCTAGGACCTAAGCTAGCTACAGAACGTGGACCAGTGGCCGCTGAACGTGGACAGGTCCAGAACTGAAGCACTCCCAGGTGGGTCAGGCAGGGCAGTGTCTGCAGGTGTCGCATGGACGGAGGCCACGGCTCCGGCGAAACCTGTCCTCGTCTCGTGCCCCCGACCCCTGGGCCAACGGGGTGCCCGAGCTCGCAATGTCCCCCCCCCACACTACCGGCAACCACTCCTCCATACATGCTCCACCAGGTCCCGTCGGAAGGCGCGAGCGAATAGAGCCCTACTTTTAAATGGACCTCGCCCCTCGGAGTAGACCATGGCTTACACGTTTATGAGCCACCATCGGCCTATTGTCTGTGAACACCAGGGCGCAAATTCGACGGATGTGAACACACCGGCAACTCAACCCACTCACCATTAGCCGCCTCCGCCAGCTCCACACCCCGTTACCCACTGCTCCCCCACACAATCCCTGAGGTCATATTTGCTGGTCCATATGT